ATACAATCCATATCTCGAGGTGTGAGGGCCTCAGTGTAGCCTTTCACGCCGGGTCCACGGCGAAACGCGTACGAACATGCAGGAACAGCATCTACGGGGCGAGTTAGCATAGAGAACGAGCGAGGAGAGTACGCGCGCGAGGGCGCGTGATGATGGGACGGCGCGTCATGGGTGGGGAGCGAAGGTCCCATGATAGGGACAGGGAGCGTGCGAGCAGAAAACGAAGCAGCGAGCGAGCTCATATAGGAAGGGCAGCCTGCGGCTGCGGTGGACAGCAAGCGACGACACTCACCCTCACACGTCCGCGTCGACGTCCTCCTCTGTGACCATTCACTTCCCTCGCTTTCGACGAGACCGACGGGGATGGCGGATGCGTAGGGGCGGGCGGGGCGTGGTGCGCACCCAGTCTCCAACAACGCGCTAGGACATGTAGGGCAGCATCCGAACGCGCCCGGACCCAGCACGCCCTCTGTGCAGGGCAACTTTTCTCGGGACGGGTAGCCTCGAGAGCCGGACAAGGGGCGACGCGGAAGACGGGCAGGAGTTCCGAGGGATGGCCAGACGCAGGGATCGTCCCAGAATGACGACGGCTGGCGCACGCGCTGACTCGTCTGAGGCGATCCTCGGGTGATCCAGGACGGAAATGGGCAGAGGAGGTGAGTGTCGAGGGGATGCGGGGAAAGTCGGGGCCCCATGGGGCGGGAGGAGCCCATGTTGCGGGGTTAGGGTCGGACGCTCCCCGGCGGCCAGGCCATGATCAGCGGCCATGTCGCCATCCTGACGCGCGACGACTCTCTTCCTCCACCCGCCATCTCCCTCCCCGCCCCGTAGACGCGCCCCTTATAGACTGTCCGCTTTCCCCCGCACACGACATCCTTTTAGACTCTTGTCGACTCTTGTCGACTCTTCGACTCTTCTCGACTCTTCTCGACTCTTGTCGACTCACCATTTCTTCCGCACCGCCACCATGTCGCTCCTCCAACTCGCGCCCGACGTCCTCCAGCCCATCGTCGGCCTCCTCCCGCAACCGATACCCTCAACCTCGCCCGCGTCTCCCACGCGGCCCATGCGCTCGCCCTCCCCCGCATCCTCGCCCACGTAACCCTCGGCGGCGCCTTCCACCGCCCCGTCCACTGCCTCTCCCCCAACGCCCAGCTTCGAGCCTTCTGCGCTTCCGTCCTCAAAAATCCTCACCGTGCCCCGCTCGTCCGCTCTCTGGAGCTCCGTCGCGACGCCGTCCGCCGCGAGCGCACCTACGAAGTCGACTCCGATGCCGTACGCCTCCTATCCGACGTCCTCGCGCGCGCGACCAGCCTCCAGAGCGTCACTCTTGGGGCCTCGCGCAACTCGTCGACGCCCACCCACCAATCGTCGATGCGCTCGCCAACTGCGACCGCCTCCAGACCGTAGTGCTAGGTGGGGACGTCCCGCCATCGACATCCTCCAGCGCGCCTTCCCGCACGTCCGCACCCTCGAGTTCGTCGAAGGCGCGTGCTTCGCCCCGGGTACGTCCACCACATCAACCGTCCCCACCGCCTGGCCGTCCCTCGACCGCCTCTCACCGGCCGCCCGCCCTCCGCGCCCATTCGCGCCCGCCAGCTCACCCTCCTCGACCCCGTGCGGAACGACGCGGCCGCCGTCGAGCAGGCCCTCGCCTTCATCAAGCACGCGCGCCCCGTCGTCCTCAGCGTCGCCGTCGACGCGGACGTGCCGGACGCGGACTTTGTCGAGCGGCTGCGCGAGGTGTGCGGCGGGGATGGCGTCGCCGGGTACGACGGCGTGCGGTTCCTCGAGCTCGTCCTGAGCGGGTGTCGGAGTCTCGCGCGGGTCGAGAGCTGGATGGTGAGTCGTCCGTCCGTCCGTCCTCTATCTCTCGTTCTCTTCCGTCTGTGCATGCGTCCGTGCAGCGCACCCCGGCTACGCACGCGCATACACCCGTCTTCCCCGCCTTCTCCCTCTCCCTCTCCTCTCCTTCCTCCCAGCGCGAAAAGCTCACCTCGCCCTCCCACAGACGCACGCCGCCACGCACCTCCACGCCCTCCCCTCGCCGGGCTCGCCCTCCTCAGCAGCACCCGCGCGACCTTCCCCACCCCGCGGCCCACGCCCTTCGCCTCCCCGCTCTCCAGCCCGCCCCTCGGGCCGTCCTCCCCCGCCTCCCCCTCCGCCGTCGACACGCTCGCGCTCGACGCAGACGCGGAGACCCCGACGATGGAGACGATGTACGGCGCACCGCGGCGCGCGCCCCCGGGCGTGGAGGCGCTCGCGCGCGCGGTGCGGGGGGCGCTGCCGGGCCTGCGCTATCTGGGGCTCGCGCCGTGCGGGCCTGCGGAGGGCCGGGGGAGGCTGGTGCGGAGTGCGAGTGGTTTGAGCTTGGGAGGGTCGGGCGCGCGAGGTGCGTGGGGCGCGCGGAGGCGGGGCGGGTGAGGCGGCGGCTGGAGGGGATGGCGCGGTGGGATTGAGGGCGCGGTGATGTGCAGATGGTGCGGATGTGAGTGAGTTAAAGGTCGAGAGGTCGAGCGACTCGGGGCTGTGTGCTGTGGTCGCGTCGGTCTGCTGTACACCTATGCCTTCCCGATCTCCACCTTCGGCTGCGACGTTGCGACGACTACCGAAGAGGCGGTGATGTTTGACGAGCTATATTGACGAGATATATTGATACCTATGCTCTCCTGACTTATGGCTACCCTACCTAGTACGTACTACCTGGGCTAATGTAGATCTTCTCGTGCCTCCGACGACTCTATCGACCCGCGTATATCCTCCTATAATGCGATATACAGCTGTTCGACTCGTATACGTCTCGCCCGCCCCCCGGTTTCCATCGTCGTCGTCTCGACGAGAAGCTTGACGGCACCGTGCGGACGCGAGGTCCCAGGTTTCAGCCAGTCGAGAGGTGCTCATGTCCCCTACTAGGGAGGGCGTGCGACGGGCCGAGCTCTGTTGTGGGGTGCAGTCAAACACGTAGCGAATTCGACTGCATAGACAGTAGTCGGCATTGCTGCTGCTGCGCGCGGGGTAGCCAGGGGATCCGAACGTTGACTAGTTGACCAGCTCACGGTTCTTCAACGCGTCTGGGATCCGTGACCGACGGCGCCGACGCTGGCGACGCCAACATCTGATCGTGCGACGCGTGTATTGCTTGACGGTATACACGGAGGGCAATGCGTACCAACTGCGTGGCCAGCAAGCGCACCCGACTCCGAGTCGTCGCTCGGACCTGGGTTCGCAAGCGGACTGCCATTTCCCCCACGCACGTCCGCCGCTGAGGACCAGCGCCCCGGGTGACAACGGTCAGAGCGACTCGGAGCCCGGGGATCGCGTGAGTGCTTGTACTCTCCGCACGCGCTGCCAACGCACCTACATACGCGGACGCTAGACCCAACGGGGTGGTTCCGGATTCGCTGGCGTCCGGTCGCTCGCCGTGCGTCTTGTCGCTTCGTGCAGCGTGCCACACTCCAGGCAGCCCGACACGCGTGGCCTGGCCACGACTCTACGGCTCCGCGATCCTGACGACGCGTCCGTACCAGACCTTCGGGGACACTGACAAGCCCCCTCAGTGAGTCAATCGGCTGCGCTAGCGCGATAGAGATGCGTACATACCCGGGACACACGCAGGGGCACCCCGCAGACGCGCACGAGACTCGCCACTGGCAGCAGACAGGAGTGCGTGAGGCGGGCCCAGCGTCGAGTCGGTCCTTGGGCGTGATCGTGCCACGGCGAGCCGTTCCCGCCCGAGTCGCGCACCCGGGTCTTCCCTGGCCGTCGAGTGTTTGAGTTTATATCTTACATGCATACAGGACGTGAAGTGACTCACGACGCACCTTCCTCGACCGTACGAGCCAAGGGATTCGGTGACGCGCTGCGGAGCGACTCGGGCGGACTGGGCTCGGAGGGTACAATACGACTGCGGGTGGGCGCGGCTCCGAGTTGTCGTTCTTGTCAGCTGCTTGATCGGCGTTGGCGTGGTACGAGCGGAGGTCGTACGGGGGCCTCGTCCGAAGTCCATAGGTATCGAGCGCGGTTGAAGGAGACGGTAGGGTCGTACGACGGCTCGGTGGGCGCGGGAGAACTCAGTGCGCTTCGTGAGGTTTCGGACGACCCTGAGGGGTACTTGCGGGCACGGCGCACTGTCGTGTTCGGCTGCTCTAGGGCGAGGAGTGCAAGGGAGATGAGGGAAAGCACATTCGGCGATACGTCAACGGGAAACAACGCACCGGATTCGTCCTCGGCGAACCCCACCCATCAGAAGAGGTCGGCGAGTGTGACGAGGAACACGGGGCTCGATTCATGGCTTGGTTTGTCGTGATGTGCGCGCTCCGAGTCTCCGCCCTGGTTCGTGACACCCGCCTGAATCGTGAACCCGAGTCCTCCCTGGCCGTCGAGAACGCATACTAGTAGCATATCCCGACGCGTTTTCCTCGATCGTACGCGGCACACGGGCTAGCTGGGGATTCGCCGAGGGGCTACGGGGCGACTCGGGTGAAGAGGGTTTCGATGGTGCGGGCGGGCGTAGCTCGTACGCGTCAGCTACTGAATGATGCCGGAATGGTCTTTGCGGAGGTCGTACGAGTCCCTCGTTCAGCTCGAGCGCGGTTTGAAAGAGGCGGGTATGGTCGTGCGATGGGTCGCTAGGGACGGGATGGTTCAGCATGCTTCGTGAGGTTTCGGGCGACCCAGGGAAGTGCTTGCTGGCGTGACATACTGCGTCGCTCGGCTGCCGATGTAATAGATATGAGGGAAGAGGTATGCGCGGGTACGTTGACGGGAAACTACGCACCATATTCGCTCTCAGCGAACTTCACCCAGATGAGAAGAGGCCGGCGGATAGGAGACGCCGGGGGAGGAACATGGGGCTCAATTCCATGGCTTGGTGTGTTGCAGTGTGGTTGCTCTTTATCCTGGTTCGTGAAGGCATGACGACTCGCGGGTGCTGTCGAGAGTTGCACTGAGTCGGTATTCTGCTTTGCAAGTTGGAATTCACCGAAGCGGCGTGAGCAATGTCTCTTCTGCCATAGCCCCGTCAGAATCCAGCTTAGAGCACCAGAGCGACATTCGAGTGGTAAGTACGTGGTTGAGCGAGCGCGGGGGCGCGGCTTCGCTTTGACTGCTGTGGCTGCAGATCGACCTGAGATCTCGGACGCGTCTGTGTACGACCACTGTGGCGGCATCTCCCAGTGAGATTCACCGTACGAGTCACCCCGTTATCTGGTGAATTTATCCAATACAATGAGTTACTTTCATCGATTTGTGGTTGGTTTTCGAGCGATCCAACAGTTGCCCAAATAGGGTGTTTCACGTTCGCGATCCTAGCCCAGATCTTACCTCGTTTTTGGTTCGTTTTTTGCTTTGATTTCGGTCAAGAAACACGACAGAAATCGTCTGAAAATCACCCGAAAACGATCCTATCGTGAAACGTCTGACCCGCAAAGGAAGCAGAAACGACGTGCGCAGCTTATGTAATGGTGTGGCTGGCATGCTGTCGGTCCATATCCCAATTGAGACATGTTGAACTTCGCGCCGCCGTATTGTACAGCCTCACGATACACCCAATCTGTCCAGTATGCCTGCTATTCCTCTTCGGGAACGTCTGATACGTGCTCAGCTTGAACATGCTTCGGACTTGCACCGCTTACATCACATCGCTATGTCAGCATCAGACTCCGACTCTGAGTCTGTCTACTCGGATGGCGGGAACCTGGCAGACGATGAACAGGACTCTGGAGTAGATTCAGAGTTATCTTCCATGTCTTCGGTGTCTGACCTGTCCTCTCTGGATGATCTGGACAACTCTGATCTCGAGCGCGACTCCTCTTCGCCTGGCAACAGCCTGGACTCTGACGATGATCACGAAGAGCGCTATTTGTCCAACTTGCGAGCCATCGAAGAACGCATCCACTACCTCGAGAACACACGGATTCTAGATCCCAACACTGTCCACAAGCTGTCACAGCTCTACTTGGTGCTGGTGCTGTTCAAAGCGGACGATCCAAAGCGTTTCCGACTCAACTTGCGGGTCGAGCCCGAGACCTTTGATGCACTCCTCGAGAGGCTGCAAGACCACTCGGTCTTTGTCAGCGATGGACCACGCGATCAGCTCTCGGTCGACAAGCAGCTGGCTATTGCCTTGTATCGATTCGGACACTTTGGCAATGCGGCATCTGTCGAGGGTGTCGCTCAGTGGGCTGGCGTCTCGGCGGGAATGGTTGTCAATGCGACCCGACGTGTCATGGTGGCCTCGCTGGCGCTGCATGATGAAGTCATCCACTGGCCAAGTGCTGATGCGAAGGAGGAAGCGAAGGAATGGGTGGAAATGGTCTCATGTGCAGCATGGCGGGACGGTTACTGCTTTGTCGATGGGACACTCGTTCCACTCGCCGAGAAGCCTGCGCACTACGGTGAGGCGTACTTTGACCGGAAGTCGAATTATTCCCTAAACGTACAGGTGAGCTCAACCATCTTATGTGGAGCTCCATGCTCAAATGCTTGGTAGCTGATCACGTTGCCAAATTTGCGCATCATTGATTATGTAGTTGGTCACTGTGGAAGTGTTCACGACTCCACAGCATTCCTCGACTCTCGAACGCATCGGGATCATCGACGCCTATTTAGCCATAGCGAGTGGATATGGGCAGACTCGGCTTACCCCGCACGGACATGGTCAGTAAGTCCATACAAGAAACCTGCGTCCGACTTGCCCGAGAACACTAATTTCAACTACTGGGTCTCACGAGTATGTGTGTGAGTCGCGGAATGTATCGGAATATTTTGCTAAGTCGTTTTGTAGGTCCGTGTCAAGTCAGAACACGCCGTCGGCTACCTGAAAGGTCGCTTCTGTTCGCTCAAGGGTTTGCGGCAGCAGATCAAGAACAAGACTGACCATTTAAGGGCACTCGAATGGATCAGGACCTGTATTGTCCTTCATACTCTAATCTTTGACATCGAACATGGAGATGATGCAGAATGGCAAGAGGAGCTCATTTTAGAAGGGATGTCGAGTGGATCGGACAGCAGCAGCTCGGCGGGTGGGCAGGGAGGTGACGAGGCACCACGTGCTGGCCGGCGAGAAGACACCGGGCAACGCAAACGTAGACATGTGAAGCGGGACTTGTTTAACAGTGATCTGTTTGTATAGACCAACCATCTATTCTACTCGGTGTATGTCTTGATCATCATCTACGTCTATGGGCAGTTCGGGATCTAGAAAGACATTCCCAAATGGTGCGGGGAAGTTACCAAGTCCATCGCCTTCGTATCCTACTCCTCCTCCTGCAAGCCCACCTCCGAAACCTTGATCCATTCCAAATGGCTGAGCAGGCGCCATGTTCGGCCCCAAAGCGTCACCACGCCGCCCCATAGTCGTCTGCAACATCATCGAGAACATCTCGAATTGGCGCTGAGTTTGTCGCTCCTGAAATTCACGCTCCTCGCGCCTCGCCTGAGCCTCACTCTCGATTTTGAGGCGTCGGTTCTCCTCTCGCCTGAGCTGCACTGAGAGCTCCTTCTCGCGCAGCGCGTTTCGTCCCTCGCGCCGCTTGGACATCTCCGCGAGCTCAGCGGCATGCGCGTCGCCAAATGCATCACTCGCCTTCCGTTTTCCCACCGACTTCTGGGAAGCCGAAACACGTGCATCCGGTGTCCTTGACCCTTTACTCGTAGACGCAGTTACCGTCGTCTTCGCAGTTACAGTCCTCGTCGGCTCAGCGCCAGACCGAGTCGGTGGTGAGGGTGACAGTGAGCGAGCACGGCCCTGGGCCTTGGCAGCCTGTTCCTTCAGACGCGGCGACCGTTTCAGAGGCGTGGGAGGCTGGGAATAGATCAATACTAACAGTGATATGCAAATGCGACCACGTACGGGTGGTACATCATCATCATCGAGCTCAATCGGCTCACTCCGAGGAGTGCTTGGAGCATCCGGGGGGGCAGATTCACCTAGAATCACAGGTGTACCATCTGTGAACATCACCACAGACTCGTCGTCTGAATGGCTATTGTCCTCGCGCACTTGTTTGAACAGCGCCGCCGCCGCCGCCGAGTGATCCTTGCCCGGGTCGGAGGCACTTACACCGACTGGGTTGTAATTCGGTAGCTCACACCACATCGCATGAAGGTCGTCGTAGAACTCCCATTCAGAGCGAATTCTCTCTGATGATACACCGCTTTCACTGCTTCGTAGCTATCAAAGTGTCGATTGCACACACCTTCAATATTACTAACTTCCTCCTCGGGTTTAACCCCACCCCCTGTATCCAAAAGATCTCGTCTGTAGCTTGTATATGTCCGCTTTAGCCTATATCAATAACAGTTAGACATCATAATAATGCCATGATCACGGCGCACCGTGCCTTTGAAAGGCCTGCTGTGTAGACTTATGGAAACGAGCCGCATTCGCGGTCCACTCGGTCTCGAATACTGGATCCTCGCACCAGTGCCTTGCATAGATGTCTTCGGCTACCTTGGCCCACCAGTTGATCTTGGCTACATGACCCTGTATCTTCTTCCGACCGTCCTTCGTAGCTTTCTGAGTCGAGTCGCTGAAGAGCTTGATGCGAAGCTCTGGATTTTGCGTGAGGAAGGAGATGGCTGTGTGGATCCAAGCCGGATTCTTGTCCCATGATATGTCCTTCTCCTTCGTGCGCTTCGGAGGCTGAGAAGGCGTAGGATTGGGCTCCTTGGGCTTTGCTTTCCGTGGCATGCTGAGCTACAGAGGGAGACGGACGACGACCCCCGGACGAGCATGGGCGCGGTCGTCCGCACAGATTACCTAATCCGATTATGTAATTGATTACTCAACATGGTCCAGAAACGGGCACCAGAAAACAACCAGAAACGGTGCAGGAGCAGCGTCCGAGCTGCTCCTGCACTCCAGAAACCATCCCAGGATCTCGTTCAAGAAATTGGCGGAAATCCGAATCAAGATCGACGTAAAAACCGGGCTGGAACCCGCTACGTGAAACACCCTAATGAGTGCCTTTCACCCGTTTTATGTCCCGATTCACCCACGTGTTTCCAGCGACTGTTCACCCAGCTACATAGTGACTTTCGTAGATTGAAAATAACCATATTCGTGGTTGCAATGAGCCGGAGCTCTGGTGAAAAGAAAGACTGTTCTAACCACTTCAAACGGTGTTTTGCACTTGTTCACTTAGTGGTTTGGTAACAGTGAGTTTCCCTACATCATTGAGTGCTCATGACTAGTACTAGTGCTCGGAGCCCTTGCATCAGCAAAGCCTCGGTTTGTCTGAGACGCCCTAAGTCATCTAAACCGGTCTGAGCGATCTAATGCTGTCTAAGGCACCTAAGGTGTCTAGTTGTCTACGCTTCTCGCGCACTAATGAGCCCTTCAGTACTATACATACTAACTTCGTGCGCATTTTTACTGTATTGCAAAACCACCCTACGAAAGTCATTGTTATATGTTATAGTACACTACCTAGAATGCATGTTCGTGAGCGTGATAGTCAACGAATTTGTTGACAAGATATGCCCGAAAAGCGTCAAGTGAGTCATGCAGACGAAAGCCGAAGGGTAGTGGGTCCTCGCCATAGATCGGTAGTAAATGTGCAGCACGGAAAACTGTATCTAAGTGGATCACCTCGCACGGTCGCCGCGTGTCAACGTCAAATTCCGGCTCAACCATCCACATGCCTGTCTCCTCATCAGGCTCCTCGCCGAGAGGCAGGAACCATTCAATAAGGGCACAGGGATATAGAATGCCGTTGAACTTGAAGGAAAACAGGAGACGTACGCGCACAACACCCAAGCCACGGAAGCCCGCCTGCGCCGAATCTTGCTCGACAAAAGCACAGTCATAGCGCGGCCCTGCCGACCGCCAGGACGGCGTTGCCCGAATGCGCTCGCGCCGCATACCACCAGTGCCGGACGGGTCCACGGGAGCATGGAATGTGGCGACCGCAGATGGGAATACCGAGATTCGTAAGTTTGGTATGCTGTATGTTGCAAGGACGCCTGCGTCGTCCGGGTCCTCGTGCAGTTGCTTCGCAAGAAACCGTGCAACGCATGTCGTTAGCTCGGGTTGTTCGATGTGAGCACCCAAGTCCGCTAGAATTCCGGGATAACCCTTGGCTTAGAGATAATGCTTGATCAGTGACCTGCAGGGATGCGAGCGATGTACGAGACGTACCTCGTTGGCGCGCTAAGGCTACAAATGCCTCTATACACGGCCCTTCCACTACGCCCTCATCGTCCTCATCATTATCAAGTTCCACTCCACCCCCATCGCCGTGGTCAACGTCAACGTTCGGATCGTTGGCATTGGGTCGATCCATTTCGCGGCCAGCAGGTGCAGCGGCGTTCGTGTTTGCGGGACGTTCAGGGTCAGGGATGAGTGGTGGGCCCTGGAGCGGGTAGTCGAGCTCGTCAACATCGTCATGATGTGAGATGTTTGAGGACGGCGTTCCCGGAGGTGATCTAGACAAGGAATTGGTGAGAGCCTCAGATAGGCAAGTCCCTTCGAGCATTCCTCGTGCGGTGAAGTCCACACGTGCCGCAACAAGTTTGTCTAGTCGCTGATTGGTCAACAACATCTGGCCGAGGGCATGATAGCGGTTTGAGCGCCGCCATGGCTCTTTCACAGCCTTGATGTGCTTGCTCTCGGTGAGGGAAGTACATAGGCCGTACAGCGCACCGAAGTTCCACGTGTGGCGAGGTGTATGGCCATGGGCATGTTGACGCGGGATTGAGAATCCGTCGGGCCTGACGCCTGCATTCCGGAGGAACTCGCGGTGGCGGTGATACTCGGCGAGGTGCGCCTCACACTCGTCGAGTTTTTTGTCTGTCTGAATGGGGTGCCGGATTCGATAGGCGAACTCGAGGTACTCATGAGCCATGCAGACGAGCTCGCGCGGCACAAGCCCTTTGATTGCAGCAAGCCATATCTGCGGATTATACAGATGAGTTGACTCCGAACAGCTATAACCAATCCAAGTCGACTGACCTTCATGAGTGCACGGGAATCATCACCAGTCCACTGCTTGAAGTTCCGTCCTTGATGGAAGTGTCGAAGGCCCACAAAAGGTGGCATCGCGGCAATTCTGTCATGAACGACAATACGAGACATTGCGTATGTATGTGAGTGCTTCGGTTTGCTGGAGCAACATCACTTATGCTTACCGTCTATCAATCTCGTCCAGAATCTCTCCCGCTCGTCCCTCTCCATGCTCGATTTTGAGGTACTCAATCGTCCAATCGACAACGTGATCTTTGAAAGGCTTGATCACTTGATGCAGGAGGTCGCCGGACAGCAGCTCGTGAATATCAGCACGAGGGAAGTCGTTGGTGTATGGCTGCACAAGATTTGAACTCAGCGCCGGCGCCCTGGGGATACTAGGCAAGTGCACAGTAGTGACCGTACTTACGATTACATTGGCGACAATCCCGTATTCTTCCCACAGAGACTTCGCGTCGAAGCTCCGAACAAGCTCTTCATTGAGCTCTTGGCTTCGACGCCCTTGTGCGAAGCCGTCGTCGAGGTGGTTACAGTGACCAGGACAGCTGGTCACGTAGTAGTACAAGGTTCCAAAGAATCCGAACATCGGTACGTCCGTTGAGCAAATGCCAGGATTCGGAGCTTGTGTAACAATTTACTCACACAGGGCACCAGCCTTCTACAATGCATGCTGCCAATGCCTGCTCCGGATAGTCCATCAGATTTGGCCCGACACCATAGATCGCACGGCGGAAGTGCGAATCGGGGCAGCGAACTACTTCTGGGGTCTTCATTGCAGGGCGAAGAGGGTCGAGAACGGCAGATACACTGGCATGGTATAGTTGGCGCTTGAACGTGCGGAATGCGGCTGTATTCTTGTGCTTCTTCTCACCTGTTTTGATATGTCAGCGGGTCGGCGATTTGACAGTGCACCTGTTTACTGGAAGATGGACATACACTTCGCGATCGCAAGGAATGCAACAACACGAACAGCATTGCGATGGGCACGCCTCACACCATTCGACACGTTGCCAATGGAGATGTACAGTGGATAGTATTCATTCTGGCCCGTCGCGACTGACACAGTTGTCTTGTCGCTTCCCACAATGACAGGTACGAACATTGATCCATGTGTTGTGGGGTCTTCGGCGATGCAATCCTATTCAATTGAATCCCCTAATCAGCCTTCTTCGACGTAATCTAGTTCGACAGAACCTAGTTCGGCGGCCGACTTACCGCCTGTCTCCACGCCCAATTCCCAGATAAGACATTGGTGAGTCGGCGACCTCCCTGATCATTCACCTCTTGATACGGTACGAGATCGAACTCATCGTCGCCGTTGTAGTCCTCGCAGTCGATCAACGAATGCACAACGGTGCGGGTGTTCCGTATCCAGATCGTGTACTTCTCACTCATCCACGACGGTACATCGCCTTCTGGCAAGAGACCGCGGTATCCGAGTTCAACCTTCGACCATGGGGCGTCGCCAATGGGGATCGCATCGATCGTATCGAGCAGGTGCACAGAATTTGCGAATGGCGGCTTGCCTCCATACTGAACCAGTGATGCAGCCCACAGATCCATCAAAGTGTTCACGTCCCGTTGGGACATTTGATTCTTTTTGTACAGGAAATCCGCTACCTCGAAATCAAGCCGGGAATCGAACGGAGTCCAATCGCCCTGCTCGAGCCTCTGCCGCAGTGGTGGGGGTTTTCCAGGCTCAAGAAACTCGCTTCCGTCTTCGGTGCAAGGCAGTGCTTTCAATTGAAGTAAGTCAGTTGCACAATGCTTGTTTGATGTGACACACCATTCAGAGCAGGGTGAAGCAACCGCTTCCATCTGACATCCTCATCTTGCCCGTTCTGGTTCTCTCCTGGGTCGGCGACGAGACCGTCTGCGTTTGCAAGATCGAACGCCTCAGGCCCGGCGGCGGGCTCCTGGGATTCCGCTCTATCTGGCTGCGGTAGCGGCGGATGTGCGGCGTTGCGATGCTGGGTAAGTCCGGAGCGATTGCGAAATGGCTTGCCGCATATGCTGCATATAATCTGGGCAGGGAAATACAACATAGGTTCGTTCTTGCAGGGTGGATTGCCTGGGGCCGGGCAGAGCACTGCGGCGAGTCGAGTGGAGGATGGTTGGGTGACTCGGATAGTCCAAGGTGAGCGGCACATCATACAAGTCCGATAAGGCTGATTAGTGAGTGGAATCATGCCCCCGAGGCTGCCCGCCCGCGCGGCAGAGCAGTCTGCCCGCCGTCACCTCTGTCGGACATGCCGGCTCGCCGCTCAGGTGACACAGCCAGTTTAAATGCCCGCCTCCGAGTCCAAGCCTTCCTGCGGACGTCCTGCCACGTCGCACCCTTATCTTCCCCTCTTACCACCACCCACTCATCTCCCTCACTCGTTTCCCTCTCTCCCGCTCGTTTTACAACTACTAGTCCTCATATACCACCCTCATTTTGTTATTTTCTAACCACCATGACTGACAATCAACCCCCAGCTCGTCGCACGCGTGCGGCAAATGCATTTGCGCACCCTGGCCACATTGTTCTCCAAGACCAGGTCAAGAGGCGCTCCAAGCAGGAGATGGCGGAGGCTCGCAAACTACAGTCATTCGCCAAGGCTGTCCTCGAGCATCAGCGTAGAGAAACCATCGAGAACGCTGCCGCCGTGCAGCGTACCATGGCACAGCGCGATGCAGAGGAACAGGCGCAGCGCGTGCTACCACCGAGGTTTGCTGTCAAGAGCAACAAGTCTTCGAACACCTCAGGGAGTCGCCTGAAGGTGGCGAGCAATGGCCCAGGTAAGCTCTCACGAACTTCGAGATGTCCTATGTCTGTGAGTATGTTGTACTCATAATGTACATTTTCAGATGCTGACACGGAGAGCATTGGTACGTCGTATTACCATTGTATGCTAGCCAATGCTTACTAGGTTGACAACCTTGGCGATGGTGGTTCTCAGAGTCCGATACCCCGCTCTCCGTGACTACTGTCACTCCTGCGAAGGTCAAGAAGCCTCGGAAGAAGGCTATACGTCAAGAGATTGACAGTACGGCGGCTGCTACGACGGCGCAGACGTTCCAAGCTGTGACTCAATCCGAGTCCACAGGGGCTGGTAAGTCAACAGCTGGGAAACGCAAGTCGGCGGTGTCCGATTCGGCGGCGTAAGTGATTCGAAGTCCACTACACATATCGAGCTTGCATGTGCTGACTCATCCATGACCCGGTACTCTTTCGCAACAGGTCTGATGCCGGCGCCGGTGGACAGTCCAAGCGGCTCAAGCCAATGCATCCCTCTGGCATGCTAACGTCATGGAAAGGGGCCGCGACTCCGGCTCGCACTGCGCCGCCGTCCATGAAGGCGCGCCCGGGCGAGGCTGTGTCTATGCCGCCGGGTAGCTCACGAGTAGTATCAGGTAACTACTCATTCCTTTCCAACCTGACTATCAGTAGTCTTACCAGCACTCGCACGCAGCCATCAAAGTCGACGTTGATCCATCGGACGATGAAGCATCTAGTCACACGGACAGCGGTGACGATGCTGCCGTCGAGTTCACCAATGGAGCCGACATCGATTCGCCTCCAGGTCGTCAGACCAATGAGGTATGTCCCTCGCCTCGACGCACTACCCATTTACTAATGCACCTTGCCTCAGGGAATTGTTGGTGTTGCTCCAGAAGTGCCCAGCGACGCCCCCGCCGGCACCCAGCCGGCGCCTTCACCGGCGCCTGCGCGTCCACGCGGTGTTGGATTCATCAATTTTGGCAGCGACTTCCAAGGTACCCCAATGTCGATGAACCACGGGAATACGCAGGCCATCGCACGGCTCGTGGCTGCTCGGCGTCATGTGACGAATCATGACCTACCTTCGGGCACGCTGAACAAGTACAACAGGGAGTTCATGCCTAAGCTCATCGAGTTTATTGCTCGCCTTCCGAATCCCTGGGAACTGCAGGTCATCAACTTCGCGGCTGAACTGCGCCGCCTGTGGAGCGAGGTCTTCCCCGATGTGTCCTTGGGTTACCGAGTCGAGTCGCCGTTGTGTCCACTGTACGCCCTCGTAAGGAAATCTTGACCTTTGTCATGATGCTGCCTCAGGCTGACATCGTGATGCCAAACAGTCCATGCAACGCCTGTACAACTGGCGCTCTAGTTTCGGCGTCAATGCGATCGCGGCAGTCAAGCATCAGGAAAAACACTTTCGGCGCCAAATGGTTTGGGATTTTTCCCAATTAGCATGAACTGGGGTATGAGCGACAAAGAGCGGTTTATGACTGACAGAACCCGGTTGAGCAGCTCTGCACGCGGTTTACGTATGTCAATACGTCCATTCTGCAGTTCTTGACACCACCAAAACTACATATCTGCTTCAGTAGCTACTATAAGCACATAATAATTGATTGTACGTCTCAACCGTTCACTACGCTTCACAAGCACACTCGTATCGAGCTATGGGATTTCCGCCACATTTTCAAGCACTGTGAAGAATGTACATTATTTGCGCCTCATTATAGTACATGGTACATGACTTTTGCGACCCGGAACACTACATGTCTGTATGATACAACCAGTCACGACGTTACACAAGCATCCGCCGCCCCTTCTCACTCCTCCAAACTGTCGCCGTTCTTCCCCTCTGACTCGCCGCCGCCTTCCCCCGTCTCCGAGCCAGCAGCGGTAGCGTCCTCGTCCCAGACGCTGGGACACGTCGCGACTTGTTCTTTGTCGATGGTCCACTGCGCGTCGGAGTAGGTCCGCGGGTACTTGAGGTCCGTAGGGCGCAGGAACTCAAGATGCGGCGAGAAGTTCGCCAGCATCGAGCAGAGAGGCGGTAGAGGGAGGAGCCCGAGGGAATAGTCTTCGGCCTCCTTCCGCGTAACTAGCACGTCCGTGCGCTTGAAGACGGGGAGCTGGCGGAGGGGGAGAGGGATTCTGATGCGGCCGGCTTTCCAGGTGGTTGCCAGGGCCTGAACCCACGACCTGCTGTTGAGGTCGTAGTACTCGAATTTGGCCGGCGGGTCGTCCTTACGGCGTTGGCGTTCCCTGTCCCACGGAAGCTCAGGGAACACCTGGGCGGTGATGGGCTGACAGAACTTCAGCGTCAGCACGTTCCCAGTCACCTCAGAAATGAGGGGCAGGGACATGGGCAAGCATTCGTCCTATAGTGCGTCCCATAGCGCTACCAGTTAGATAAGCGTAGAGAATGCAGACATATCGAACGTACCTCAGTGAACACCAGCACCTCCACCACCCTCAATTCCTTCTCCTTCCCCTCATCGTCGGCCTTCAACAACTCCGGTATCATCAGCGGGTGGTAGAAGTCCTTGATGGCCCCCGGGAAGAGCCAGCCCTCCAGCGTCGGAGGGTCCTCGAGCTCTGTCAACACGTCCAGCAGGGCCTCCCGCTGTTGCATCGCCGGCTGAAGCCAGTACGACACCAGCGTTGGGCACTGTGACGACGGGAATATTGGACACTTGAAAGGAATATTAGTGTAACCTGAATACAGAAGACGAGGATTATACGCACATAGTCAAAAAGAATGCCGAAGTGTTCGCCCTCCAGGCAGAGAACGGTGATGTGCTTGATCGTCTTGCGGTGGGGGCAGACGGGGCTGCGTGAGATAATGCTCGAGTTGGAAAGGACTATCTTCGAGGCGAAGAAGAAGACGCGTTTGTCGTAGGAAGCCATGTCGAGTAGCGAGGTGAGAACGGAGTTGAGAAAGAAGTCGTGTTTGAGTAGTCAAAGATAGTGTTTAGAGGTTGAAGAGCGTGGAATGACGGCCACAGAGCGTTCAAAATTAAAGTCCCACGAATAGGCGCTCAGCCACAGGCGCCGCACCGAGCACGCCGTACAGCGCGAAGTCGCAGGTAGCTACACAAAATGACGAGTAGAGTGAATAGAAATGGATACATACTTTGGTAGTCACTCAGATATCACTGTCTGAAGGTTTCCCAAGTCACGGTAAGCTGAATAGATATTTGACGCAGAGTAGTACACGTTGTTCCAGGCTCAGTCTACATTGTACAAGGTAAATTCGTTACTATCCTCTACACGCACACGGTCCCACCGCTCAAGCAGCCGCAGCCGCATCCGCATCCTCCGGCTCTGGGTCAACCTCCCAGATCTCATGCCCTTCCTCGCCGAACCCAGGGCAGGTCGCGATGATCCCATCATCATCACGACCTACCGACCACTTCGCCTTAACGTACAATGGAGGGTGTTTCAGGCCACGCGGCCACAAGAGCTTGATGTGGGGGATGAACTTGACCTTCATCGAGCAAATAGCCCTGAAACCCCTACCGCCGCGCGCAAACTGCTCGGGATGTGGCGCGGTCACGATCGACGACGGCTTGAAGATGGGAAAGTGGCGAAGGGGAAGGGGAAGATAAATCGCGTTGTCCCGATGAGTCGAGGCCGGGACGCGTTCCCAGGTTTTGAGTTCGAGGTTGAACATATCGAACGCCTGGGGACGGTACCGCAGGGACGGATCCCTCCACCAGCAGAGGCCGTAGAAGACCTGGCGGTTATCGGCTGCTGGAAATAGAGCCGCAACCTACCCGCCTCTACCTCGACGACCAGAGGCAGGGAGATAGGAGTTGTGGCCTCCTATAATTTGTTGTGAGTTACGCAGAGTGGTAATTTGTCAAGATACTAGACGCACCCTGACGTATACTAACGCCACTATCACCCTTCGTTCGAGTCCATTTCCTCTGAGGCTAGGCGGCAACGAATACTCCCCAAATGCCGACTTGATAGCCCCAGGAAAGAGCCATCCCTTGAAGTTCGGGGGCTTCTCCGCCGCCTCCAGTGCGTCCCTCAATGCCAACCGCCTTGCCTCCTGCGGCTGCGCTTGGCAAGCCCTCATGGGGCAATCCGACGTAAGATGCACTGGACACTACAACCAAGGATTCAACGGTCGTTTTACAACGAGGAACTGTCAGTACTCACGTAATCAAAAACCTTCCCAAAGGACTCCGAGTGCTTGTCCAAGCAGAGGACCGTGACGTGCGAGATTGTGCGCTCCAAGTCCTCGGGGCATGGTCGAGCGAAGATGGCAATGGCTTCGAACC